AAACGTCAGGAAGAAATTCTACCAAACGACTGGCTAAAAACCCGAAAATCCCATTAGCTTGTTGGATAATAACTTTTGGCTCGTTTGCAGGTTCTTCGACAGACAGTAGCGCTTCCTCACTGCCAGCGGCCGGTGCGTCTTCACAAAGTGGCGCGGGCGGAGCACCGTCACATGGATTCCAGTCCTATGCGGGGCTGAAAACGGCGCCAGTCCCGACTGGCGCGCCCCTGGACCCGGCCAGTATCGCCTTAAAAAGTGCAAGTGTGCCGGGAAGTGCGTTCAATTTCGGTACGGGCGGTCTGGGCATGGGTTCCGGCCTGCCGGAATCCTATCCGAACGTGGGCCTGCTGGACGAGTTCAGAGGCAGTGCGAACTACCTAATGTGCGGCACCAACGCCAAGCCGGGACAGACCGGCCAGAGTTACCCGCCCTTCTTGAACCCGGCCGCCCACCAGGGTCGGGGCGCCGCCTACCCGCTCGGCGGCCCCTTCATGGATACCAGCTCGCAGCTGTATCAGCACTACCTGCAGGCCGGCGTGTTGAACCAGGGGCTGTTGGGTGCGACTAGCGGGTACCCGCCAGGCTACCATGCGGCTGCCCTCGCCATGCGACAGCCCTACGATTCCATGTCGCGCCACTCTTGGCTGTAGTACGTCGACTTGGACGACATCAGGAGAATGATCAAGTAAGCACGATTTGGCGCCTATTTACTTGGCCAGAAGCTGGATGTGTTGGGCGAGCCAATCGATTGATTGGATGTGCAATTATGTTCGATTTAAGGGCTCAAAAGGGCGGTATTTAACGCAAAGATTTTGGGTTCTTGTTGATGTTTGTCTCAGGTTAACCGGCCGATTCAGTGCAAGAGTTCGCAGTTTCTTTATTACTTTGTTAGACTATTTGGCATCGATTTTTGTTACTTGACGCCGTTTTGCTTTGGTTTAGTTTCCACATGCTAGTTGTTTGTCAATCCAAATCGGAATAGAGCACCAATGGAGTTAGGAAAATCAAAAAATTCTATCAAAACAACGCGTTAATTGTAGGTATACAGTTTACCAAAGACGACACAATGATGGTTATAATTGAGGTAATCGATTTTTGTTTTTATGTACATATGTTTTAGATCGTAAGCGACTTTATTTCAGTTTCGTGTATGCATAGCGTTTTGAACGGCAAACATAAATATCACCCAACTTCAGTTGCGGTTAGTTAAATGTTTATAGAATTGTTCAGTTTATCAAGCACGCGTATAGGGAGAGGAGTTCTTTTGTTTGAGGTGAATTGTTAATTGTGTAAATTCCCGCCAGCTATTGTTTGAATGAGTAATTTTCGAAATCTTCCAAAACTCTGGGCTACCAAGGCGTTAAAAATCTCGCGACTGAGTTTCCAGACGTTAACACGTTACATGAAGAAGCGGCTGTATTCACTCAATACCCTGTATATTTTTAGACCCTTTACATTAGATAAGGAAAGATATCATGCGGATAGGACGGACCATGTTTTCGGCACATCAGATCGGTATATATGTTATAAATGTCTCGAATTTAAGCATAATAATAATAGTAACATTAATAATAACGCGAATGTCTTTGGGGCACTTCCATGCTTGTCTTGTTGACTAGATTAAAGAAAATATATCTCGGCTAGGGAGTAAAGTAGGCAAGAAAGAAAATTTTACATTATATGTAAATAATAAATAAATTTTATTATTGTATACCAGGCAGTTTTACTTCGGGGCCCCGCTCACAAAGTCCAGTCATTCGTTTCCGACAAATCCTGCATCATTTTGTCCCTTATCCTCGGCCGCGGATCCTCTTTTATGCTCGTCTCGATGGCCCCAGCTTTCCCCAGTAGATACTCAAACTCTAAAAAGCCGCTATTATGCTCATGCTGCAGCCGTCGAAGCAGCTTACCGTTCAAAGTTAAGTTGGGGCCGCGGAACTCCACCGGCCCGACGACTTTCGACTTGAGGTCGCCCTCGAAGTAGACGAAAAGGGTTGGTAAGTTGCGGTCTGGGTAGTTTGGTATGCAAGTGGTCGAGATCGATTTGAGGAACTTTACGGTGGGGAATCTGGGCGCCAGGTTCCTCATGTGTTCGTTGATGAGTGCACAGAGCGGGATTCTGAAACCTCAAAGCTGGAGGATTTTGGGCGGCTTGAACCCGCACTCACCCTTGCTTGTACAGGTGCAACACCACCCATATTCCCTCGCCTGCTCGGTTCACTTCGTTCACGTAGTCTTGGGCGGATATTTCGCCCACATATCCGAACTTCGACTTCTCCATCAGTGCCTTCATTTCAGCAATGCGTTTCTGTCGGTACTCCAGCAGAACGGCTTCATCTTCAGAGTCCTCCAACTCGTCCAGCTCATCCAAATCGAGGTCTTCGATTTTCTTCCCATCTAAACCAGTTTACTCTGTTAGCTGATGTGTGTGTGTGGGACCCATTTAGCGCTTCGTTTACCCTGCGTCTTTTTCTCAATCGTCTCCTCTAGCATAGACACGATTTGCTCCTCCAAAATTTCCTTCTCCTTTGGGGGGATGATCCCCTTGGCTCTCAGGATGTCGTTCCATTCGGTGTCTTCATTCGGATTCTGCATGGTTCTTGTAGGGTGCTCAACGAAACGTTGCTAAAGCAAGTGGAGCGTACAGAAATAGAAACAGGGTCAAAAAAGGAAATTAATCATTTTCTGCTTTTTTAAGGTTATGTGGCATGTCCACACCCAACATAGTTGTCTGATTTTGCATAGCTTTTGTTTCTCAGCGATTTGACACCTCAGTTTGTGACGCATCAGTGCAGTATTTAAATCGCTGATTTCGGGGAAATTTGAAGTTATATTTCAATCGAAACGCCGCAGATCTTAGTGGGTGAGATATAGCGGGCGATTCGATTGGAGCTGCTACTTAAGAAGTAGCGGATAGAGTTCGCCTTAGATGCAATTATAGCCCAAAAATCGAGCTTTTGCCGCATGAAAATTGTCCAGTCTCCGGTTGGAGGAGAGTTTCCGAACGCACTAAAGCACTGCTCAGTTGTTTTCCGCTAGAATTGACATTTGTTTAATGAGTAAAGTTAGTGCGGCGTCACTTCATTTTTTAATGAAAATCGCGTTGTTAAAACCTAGCATTTGCTTTGAAATCGGGTCTTGCGCTGTTGCCATTCGGTCAATTACAAGCACGGCTTGGGCGCAGTTTTACCGAATGCGCTGTGAATTAATACGAATTTCATCAAAAATGTTTTTCTATGCTTCCGGGCCATTGATAAAACTCAATCTTTTCAAGAGTATAATAACATGAAAATATAAATATACAAAATATCACCTACCTATTTATTAACAAAACAATATTGGTAACTCGTAGCAAATGAAAACCTTAAATCTAATATCGTCTAGGTCCATGTGTCGACCTGTGTTCGCTTTGTACAGTGCAAAAATAGAAGAACTTTGTCAAATATCGTCGAAATTAGGCCAGCTACCTAAATCATAGTAGGTAGTTCATCTACCCTATACTGTTATTATAAAATACTATAATTAGCTGTACAACTATGAGGTGAATCACGCAGTGTCGACAATATTCCAGAATTTGGAATAAGTGTAGCTTACTGGCGCACGACCAAACACAAGCACATCCCTAAGAGAAGAGCTGCCAGCAGCTGGATCTTGTGGGGCATGTGAAGGTAACTAGGAAGATCTGAAGGTGGGCTGACCTGCACTTCAGCAGGCAGAAACAGCACAACAGCACATACAACAATGATGAACCCCAGAAATATGCTGTTTCCCACTGGGATCGCGGTCACGTTGCTCCTAGAGAAGCTTTTCTAATGAAACACCCAGCTGAGTGTTGGGAGGAGAGTAGTGAGGACCTACCTTGCCACAGAACCCCGAATTTCCCCTTCAAGAGCGCCGTTTCCATGTTCATCTTTCACCGAATCGGGGCCTTCCTTTGTGCCTGGCAGCAAAACGGCTTCAACAGTCTTCCTGCCAAGAATCTAAAGGACAAAGGCTTCAAAGGCTAACAGACGCACATATCATACCTCATCAGTTTCTATGTCTTGCATAACAACTTTCAGCTTATCGGTAACATTGCAATTGGAAGGAATGGCCTGCTTATGTGTTACGGCCAAATCGATGCTACTCTCATTGGGAATAATCCCTTCTGGATTGGGAACGATATACTTTTCCCATGCCGATGAATGGCAATGGACTGGAAAACACTCTGGACTCAGCTGGATGCTGACAACTGAACCTCCACATACCTTTGTACTTGATCGGGAACTCATAGGGGTTGTAAAGAGTTAGCACCTGGACGTGACTGTGCTTTGATCCCAGGAAAAACGTCAACGATGGAGGAAACGCAAAAATCGGCGTTTGGCGAAAATGTCGCATATGTTCGCCTCGCATTCTCATTGCAGATGTTACTGTTTTGTTTACAATCTGTGTTTACAATCAGATTAACAAGCTATCAAAGGACTGACGCATAGAAAAAGACAAGTTTAGGACAGTTTTGTGCAGCATTGTCTGTCAAGAGACTTGGCACAGACTTCACACCTTTGCCAATTAATTTTAATTGCGTAAATTGTTTTTTGAAAGACTGTAAAAATTAATCAAACTGTTGCGTTACCGAAACTTGTCCTGATTCAAGTTCGGTTTTTTAACCGATAAAAATGTTTTATTCGTGTATGTTAAAATGTCCATTAGATAATGCATTTGATTTAACAAAAAAACATGGGTATATTTATCCTGTTTCCACCGAGGATGACAGACAGAGAAACACTACTGCTACTGAAGGTAGCGGTAAGTCTGGCAACAGCTTGGCGGTCATTGACAGCGCCATTTTATTTGAAAGCCTTTCGTGACAGCTCAGTTTTGAAATTCAACATTTTCCTAGTTTTTTCGTGTTTCGAACAATAAAATCGGTCGTATAAGCATTCCAATCAAAGCAAGTCCAATTTGACCTCCTTTGAACGCAACTGATCGGCCCAGTTTCCGACGAGTTTCCAACCATTCCCCATTTCATCAGCAACAAAAACCCGCAAGTCTCTAACTTATATATTCAAAATGCAAAACCCTATGTTCTACTGTAAATACATACTCGCTACAACTCTAAGCAAATAAAGTTTAGGTAAAAAGTAAAAAGTGTGGAATTTTAGCAGATGCGGATGGCAAATTTTTGCACCTCAGGTTGCTCCCATTCATTTACTGTTCGTCCTTCTCCTTGGCCCCATGCTTCAAAATGCGAGTAAACTCCACATAGTCAAACAGCCCGTTCTTAATGGGGGCCTCTCGGTACATCTCGTCCACTTCATCGTCAGTGAATCGGTCCCCCATGCTGGTGAGCAGCTCCCGCAGTCTCTCCTCATTGATCAGTCCCATGTTGTCTTCATCAAAGCAGCCGAATGCGTTCTTGATCACGTCCTCAGGGTCAGTGCCTTGAAGGCGTTCACCAAACAGTGTAAGAAACATGGTGAAGTTGATGGGGCCTGGAGCCTCATTCATCATGCCATCCAAATAGTCGTCATTGGGGTCTTTACCTGCAAATGGGCTTATTAGGGGGCTGAAGTGGGTGCTGTTTTGTCTGTTGCCTACCCAGTGACGCCAGCATGTCATGCAAATCCTCCTTGTCCACGAAACCGTCATGGTTCTGATCAATCATGTTGAAGGCCTCCTTGAATTCGGCAATTTGGGCCTGATCAAACATCGCAAAGACATTGGAAGTGGCCCTCTGCGCCCTCTTCTTCGTGGTGCCTCTGCGGCTGACAGTTTTTCGCGAAGACATCGTCTGAAAGAGTAACTAATAACTCGTTGAAGCCTTCTATAAATGGTCTGGAAAGTGGGTTATTCACTTAGTCATTACTTCTGGTAAATCATGGGCATGGCACTTAAGCAACTGATAACCAGCGATGAGCAATCGCTAAGGAATTTGCTCGGGTTTGCATTTTTAGGTTCAAGAATTCCCGGTTGTTTCCATCCAAGATGGTAAGCAGACTTACCTGAAGTGGCTGGATGTTGCTTAAACCCTGGAAACTGTTTCTGCTCTTTGTTTACTTCCCCTAAAGGCTGGAACGTTGCTGCCTGGCCTCACAGCTGATTGACTTTCCAGTGCAATTCTTCGCGTTTGGTTGGTATTGGACCGCACCTCCACCGGTTTTGCCCCGCCATTTTTCAAATTTATCTCCCTGCCAGCGGGTTCAGACGGGTTTTTTCCTTGTTAAAGGAGTTTTTTCAGTGGTAAAACCGTATGGGAAGCGTCACTGGCTTCGGGGATTGTGGGAGCCTTTTTGCTGATGAAAGTATGCGCACATTTGGTCAAGACATCCTAATTGGGGCATGTATCTGCTTTCGTTTATTGCCATATTTGGGCCGATTTTGTAATCGTTTACCCAATATAACATATGGCTTGATGGTTTACGTGCTTTAATGATGCTGGTCCATAGGAACACTCTGTTTCTTCAACAAAATTTCTAGATTTTGCTGCTTGGGTTCAAAGATTGCTGCTGAGAAGTCACTTTCTTGAAGTATTTCAGGAGGAAAGATTTTGACAGTTTTGTAGAAAGTGAACCATGGATGGGGAAATGTTGGCAGTTTTCTCAAAAAAGGCTTGAATTCAAGCAGTTTCAGATTTGCGTGGTTTTTTTTGAGTTGCATAATCAACTTGAACATGACGCTGCTTTTTTCGAGGTTTCTCAAGAACCATTCGAGCCAGAGAATTCGTTTTGGCATCGTTGGATAGAGAAATGAATGACCAACATGTAGCTTTAAAAGGTCACTTTTCATTGCTCCAGAACAGTAGCGCTTCCAGTAACGAGTTGGGAGCTGCACGGACGCATGAAGCGCAAGTTATTTGGAAAATTTCGGCCCGAAAATGCGAGAAGCTCCTGCACTTGCATTGAATAGTCATTGGTGAGTCGCTTTTTGGGTCAACATTTTTCAGGTACCAGATCAAAAACGCGAATATTTTTCCAAGTCCTTATTTGCGCAAACTACAAAACTTACGTGTTCTAATCAAAGCTGCATAGTGGTTTTTATTTTGAATAATTCTTGCGTTAAAAATCAAGAGATTCTGCTCACTGGCGCCATCGTGCGCCCGCCATTTCGGACTGCACATGCAGATTTCTGCCAACTGCAGCCTCCCAAATTGGCAATTGTTTACAAAACAATGGCAAGCACATGGCCTAACGTCATCAAGCACGTGTGTTTTTTGTAAACATTCTAATGCGTAACAACAATGCCGGCAGTCCGATTGTATTACGGACGAAATTGGGAGAATTTCGGTTTGATCCCTTTGCTAGTCGACAAAGCGTCGATCAAACAGGGCCAACGAGTGACCGGCATCGCGACGCAAGCGCCGTTATTTTCGACGTTCGCCGCGCCGAGACGCGTCTCGTAGCCACAACCACCTGTGAGATTCGCCTACACAACCAGTAGTTCTGTGCGAAATAACGAAGTTTTTCCGCTATTTTCTGGCTTATCGGTCAGTTTTTTCACTAAACTAGTGTTCAACCAGTGGTACTGCGTGTGTAAGTGTTTGGAAACTCTGTACCAAGAGGATTTCGAAGGGTAAGTGCAAAGTTTCCTATTGTTTTGTCCAGTGACATCCTGTCGCGGTCATAATGCGAGTGAGAAAGACGCCTGAAGACGCCCATCCTTTTCGGGTAGCAGGAAAGACTGCTGATCTGCTTTTTTTCGCTTGCACAATCCCAACGTTTTCATCCACTTTCAGCAGTTTTTTTCTTTTACTATCCTGGTTCGGGGTGGTGGTTGTTTGAGGTTATGTGGTAGTCTTCAGGACATTTTTTTTGCAGTGGCAAAGGGGTGTTTATCAATTTTTCCTTGCGCTCTTCGGTACACACGCGCCTAAGAGATTGTAAAATTACGTTTTTTTCCTGTTGAGTCCTGCTTGAAACCGAAGGTTTCAATATTGGACATTCTTGACAAAATGGCGAGGAATGAGTAATTTAGTGGTCTCCAACATCAAATGAACTGTGAATTGCCCGTTTTTTTATATTAATCTATACAGAGTGTTCGGTGAAGAGTGGTTAATTTTTGTTTAATAGATGGATTTTTAGGTTAGTGGTCGATGTTGCTTCGGGTGGTTATTCTATTTCAGTCTCAGAGGCTTATTTTCTATATTTTGCCATATTTTCTATAAACGCGCCTTATAGATAATCGGTTTACCAACAACTGATTGGTTTTTTTTTGTTCTAATCAAGTTTTGCAAGCGTTTAACGTAATAGAAACAGATCGAGTAGTACCAAGTTCTGTTTTATGTTATAAATGTCATCAACTCCAATAAATAAACAGGTCTGACAAGTCTCAACTGAAGCGAACAAAGCGAATCCAAACTGGAGAATTTAACCGAAACAAATCCAAATCTCTACGGACTGCGCTAAGCAAAAATCAACTCTAAAAAAAAATACATTTGGCAAAAGCGCCATGTTTTTCAAAATACGCTGCGTAAAACGAGCGAAAACGAAGTTAAGTAGTTCTGCGGAAGAACTAAATTTGCCAAGAAGAAATTCTACTGAACGATGAGAATTTCTTCTTGACGTTTCGCAAGCACGAGTGGCTTGCATCTTCAGAAGTGGTTTGCTTGAACGCTTACACTG